CCCCCCCCCCCCTTTCCACCCCCCCGGGTCCCACCTTCCCCAAGGCCCAGGGCAAGGAGCAAGACCGGGACCCCCCCCCCCCCCCCCACCCACCCACCCACCACATACACACACATACATACATACCACCTCCCCGCCCCGCTCCTCCCCACCCTCGCCCGCATTGCCACTATGGACGAGGCAGAGGTCTGGCTGAGGCTGGGCGACACTGCGGAATGTGTAGGGGACTATGTTCGAGCGTATAATGCGTATGCAGAAGGATGTCGGCGATTGGTGCCTGACTTGTCTGTGGTGGGAGGGCTGGAACCAAGGCCGCCCCTTCGGGTCACCAACACTGTTGTGGCAAAGGCTGCTGGTGGTGGTCAGACTGCTGAGACTGCTGGTGGTGGTCAGACTGCCGAGACTGCTGGTGGTGGTCAGACTGCTGGTGGTGGTCAGACTGCTGAGACTGCTGCTGGTGGTCAGACTGCTGAGACTGCTGGTGGTGGTCAGACTGCTGCTGGTGGTCAGACTGCTGAGACTGCTGCTGGTGGTCAGACTGCTGCTGGTGGTCAGACTGCTGAGACTGCTGCTGGTGGTCAGACTGCCAAGACTGCTGCTGGTGGTCAGACTGCTGAGACTGCTGCTGGTGGTCAGACTGCTGAGACTGCTGGTGGTGGTCAGACTGCTGAGACTGCTTCTGGTGGTCAGACTGCTGCTTCCGGTCAGCCTGTTGAGACTGCTGCTGGTGGTCACACTGCTGCCGGTAAGACTGCTGAGACTGCTGCTCCCGGACAGACTGCTGCTCCCGGACAGACTGCTGCTTCCGATCAGACTGCTGCTCCCGGTCAGACTGCTGCTGCCGGTCAGACTGCTGCTCCCGGACAGACTGCTGCTCCCGGTCAGACTGCTGCTGCCGGACAGACTGCTGCTCCTGGACAGACTGCTGCTGCCGGACAGACTGCTGCTTCCGGTCAGCCTGCTGAAACTGCTGCTGCTGGTCAGACCGCCACTGCCGGCCAGATTGCTGCTGCCGATCAGACTGCTGCTGCCAACCACATTGCTCAGAATGTAGCTCCTCGTCGGACTGCTCCGATCGCTGTCGCCGCTTTGAAGACCTTAGTTGCGACCACGACCGAGACCAAGAGTGGCAACTCGACGCCGAGCAACTTTACCTCGTCGGAGGCACCGAGCAGTGCAGCTCGCGCAGGTGGGGAGAGCGGCTCAAACTCGGACCCGCATGCTCCGGGAGCGAAGCAGATGGCATTGGCTGGCGAGGCCATTCCGGCGAGTACGACCGTTCCAGGCCCTACAGGGCTGGCTCCTGTACCGGCGCTCAAGCCGATGACCGGTAGAGGCGGAGCATCCCTCAGCGCAAGCACGTCGACAATGAGTAGCGTGGTGCTAGGGGCTGGCGCAAGCACGCCAAGGATGGGAAGCGAGCCGGCAGCGGGCAACGACGGGGTGTTTGGTGCGGCGGCGACTCATACGCAGGCGCAGCCACAGGCGTCGACGCCGAGCGTCGTGGTGCCAAGATTTGCGGCGGCAAGCAAGGTGCCACTCGTAGCGGTGGCTCCGCTGCTCCGGCTCGGGGCGGTGGCCAAGCACCTGGGGCGGTTCGGCGAGGCCGCGGTGTGCTTCTCGCGAGCGCTCAAGACTATGTCCAAGACGATGAACGAGGAGGCCGGTGGGGTGTGGGCTGAGCTCGGGCACGCGTACCTCATGACTGGCGACAGCGAGCGGCTGACAGACGCGTTTGATGCGTACCAGCGGGCGCTGGAGCTGCTCTCTGTCGAGGAGGTGCAGAACGCCGACCTGTGGTACGGCATCGGCATCATGTACGAGTCATTTGGCTCGTGGGAGCTGGCGGTCGAGGCGCACATTGCTGTCCTCCGCATCGCCATGGACCACCAGCGGCGGGCGCAGGTCCTTTATCGGCTTGGGCTCCTCTTTCGCAACCTGAAGCGATATGTAGACGCGTACCGGTGCCTTGACGCCATCCGCGACACGCCGCCTGCACCGCTGCGAACCGCCGACGTTGTCTACCACATTGGCGTGGTGTACGAGGAGGCCGGGGCGGTCGAGGACGCCGTGGCACTCTACACACACATTCTTGACCATGTGGAGCCGGACCACTTGCCGGCCATGGCCAAGGTTGCGCTGAATCTTGTGCAGCAGGTTGTGAACGCCGAAGCCAGCGAGGACAATAGCAATCTTATCGCGCGCGGCAAGATGTACCTCGAAACAATCCTTGCCCGCGAACCGGGCAACGCAACTGCAGCGTGCGCGCTCACCACGCTCGTCCTCCACAACGTGCCACCGGGCGCTGCCGACGACCCGGAGCACGCTACTGCTGTTGCCAACGTCTACGCCCTCCTCCACCGGGCTGTCAAGGCCTCGCCGCCGGACGCCATGCTCTGGGCCTCCCTCGGCCGCATCTACTTTGTCAATCTCCAGCTCAACGACGCGCTCGTCTGCTACGAGCGGGCGCTCTCGCTCTCGCTCGGTAACCCGGAGCTTCTGCACAACATTGCTGTCGTCTATGAGACTGCGCAGTATCCGAACGAGTCAATGACGGCATTCAACCTCTTTGCCCGCATGCGCGAGGCTTCCCGCGCCGCCGAGCGCAGCGGCAATTCCTCGCCTACCCCTGCCGCCGGCGCCCTCTCCCGCAAAATCACCGTTGCCCTCTCATCGACCAACAAGCGCAAGCGGGGCTCGTGAAGGTCGCGTATGTACGTAAACTGTAATCACCCGTTCCGATGGCGACCCTCCCCCTCCCCCCCCTCCCCCCCCCCCCCTCCTCCGTCTGTGTCGCTTGGCTGGATTCTGTCGATCACTTCACATCGAGTCGCAGTCGACCAGGCTGACCATCCGTCCGACCAAAGCCCGTCCGACCAAAGCCCTCCGCCCCCCCCTCCGCCCACCGGCACGTGACCCGACCCGGACACCACACACACACACGAACGCACGCACACTACGTCACACTTGACCACCACCGCTACTCCTCATTTCCCCATGTACCCCAACATGATTGGCTATGTGGTGGCAGTTGCCCTGGCGGCTATGGCTGTGACGGTCTTGGCTCGTGGTGGTGGCGAGGAGACCAAGTCGCCAGCGACTTTTCCTGTCGGGCACTCTACGAGTCATGAGCTGATCGATGTGGAGAAGCGTGCTGAAGCGCCCCTTCTCGCCGCTGGTGGTGGCCTTGTTACCATCATTCGGGAGGCATATCCCAACATTACCACTTGCTCGGTCAAGATCTTTGATCCCTCTACTGGTGACGCTACCGTCTTGGTCGATGATGTCTCCACTGTCTGCCAAGATCGGAGCTCGGCAAACTCGCGTGCGTCGTCGGCTTGGCTTCCGCCGACTGCAGTTACAGAGCTCCACAAGAATGGTGTCTTGGACAGTCAGCCCTCTGCTGCTGGTCTGCTGCTGGTAACCACCGGCTCGGGCAAGTATGTGTGGGGCATCAACGTGGCGACGGGCGCCTTGTCCAAGGTCGCCGCCCTGCCTGCCGGGCTCGACGTTGTGTCGATCGGCTACGACGCGAGCACTCTGAAGATCTTTGTGCTCAGCACCGACGCACTTTACTTGGTGGCCAACGGCGACGTGACCAAGGTGTATTCGGGCATCTCGCTCAACTCGATCACTGCCGCCGTCGCCTGGTCCGGCACCGGCTCGCTCTACGCTGCCGACGCCAGTGGCCACCTGCTCACTCTGGACCTGGTCAACTACAGGTTGTACTCGACAGCGCTCTCCATCTCGGTCCTTAACCTCGACTGGCTCGGTGCCAACAACACGCTTGTTGCCCTCGCCTCGTACGAGCTCTATGACGTCGATCCCGTCGACGGATCGCTCTCTAAGCTGTGGAAGGTGCCCGACGGCAACGGCTATCCTGCCACCCACACCGTCAACGACTTTGTCTACTACGTCGCCGACTTTCAGAACCTCTACACAGTCTCGCTCTTTGACTACAGCATCCTCGACAAGGTTGCGTTTGATGGCTACTTTACTGTCGGCGGCATCCACTATGTTGCCGCATCAACCTCATAAACCCTGTCATCCGATCCGAACGACCACCACCATCAGGCGTAAACCTCATCTATCGCAGCCACACACCACATGGGCCGTGCCACACACACATGTGCTGTGCCATGGTGCAGCGCGCCATCACGCATGGGTCCCGGACCCAGAGAAGAAGAAAAGGGATAAAAAGGAAATGGTGGGGGGGCTCTTTTTAGATCCGCAGCAGGAATGCAAGGCCGCGGCAACCCAAGGTGGTCGTCTGGAACAAGTCCCAGCTAACCACACCCCGATCATAAAGTGAAACGTTGAGAAGATCCGAAGATCTTCATTCGAACGTTTTATGTTCGATTCGACGTTGACTTCGTTTTGATCAGAGCCATACGAGACGACCTGATGCCGAAAAAGCTCATTTAGGTTCCACAACTGCGACTACTGGCGTCATCAAATTCACCTATCCCGCCACCAAATGGGTTTCACACCACCTCCCCCCCCCCCACCTAACACTCCAAGTCGCAATGCCACAACACCACCCCCCACTCCTTTCCTGCTAGCCACATCTCTCCAGCTGCTCATGGACCTTAGCAAGCTCTTCTTTGCCCCACCTGACACCGTCGCCGGCGAGGCTCTCGCCCGCGCCTCGGCCGCCATGTGCGACGGCGGGGGCTATGGCCGTGGGCGGACCATTGTCTTCTCTGACCCTTCCACCCGGCTTGGCCTCTCGCTCGGTTTGCAGTACGCGCTGAGCATGGCAGGCGCGAGCCCAGCCACACGCATCCACTGGCTCACCTCCTCCCGCAACTCGCACGCTCCGTTTGGCCCTGTCCTTCCCTTTCGTGACTCGCTTCTTGCCCGTGCCCACGACCAGCCAGCCGACCTTGGCCATGACCACGACCTCGACCGCGATCACGATCACGATCACGATCACGATCAACTGCCAGTGCCGGAAAAGGTCGCCCGCTCGTGCTTCTGCTTCTGCTTATGCTTCTGCTTCTGCTTCTGCTTCTGCTTCTGCTCCCGCTCCCGCCACCTCGCCGGCGCCGCCGTCCACGCCCGAGGAGCTTCCCGCACCGGACGCGGTGCCTACTAGCGACCTTCTTGCCCGCATCGGTCTCAAGTACCTGTCTTCGGCCGCAGATCTGCGGCGCTACGCCGCCCATCTCCACGAGCTGCCCGACGACGAGCTCCCGGCGGTCATCATCGTCGACTCTCTGCTCGATCTCATCCCGGCTGGTGACGCCTCGCACGCTGACGACCTTGCCCGCACCATCGCGCTCCTTGCCGACGCCGCCGAGCACGTTGGCGACCGCATCCTGCGCCCCGGCGCCTCGGCGCACATCCTCCTCCTCGAGTCGCTCGCCGACACCGCCCGCATCTCAGCCTCTCGCGCTTACCCGCTCCCGCCCGAGCTCTTCCTTGTCCAGCACTGGATCGACACCGTCGCTGTCGCTGCTGGCGGGCCTCCCGGCATGCACTTTGTCTTCTCCGTCGTCGACTTCAATGGCCACCCGGATCCGCTCGCCTTTGAGGTCGAACTCGATGCCCTGCTGCACCCTGCTGTCGGCCCTGCCGCCCTCTGCGTTTCCGCTGTCTCTTGCACACCCGCCGCCTCCGCTTAGCCATAGCCCATCAACCATGAAAGAGACGAGAAAAGTGCTAGAAGCGGGGATATTCAAAATATTTTCGCGGGCCTTTCGACATGCTGTCAAGCACTCCCCTCTCCCCCCCCCTCCTCCTCACAGCCCCTCTGCCTTTGAGATCGAACTCGATACCCTGCTGCCCTCTTCTTCTTTACCGTCTCTAGCACGCCCGCCGCCTCCGCGTAGTCATAGCTCATCAACCATGAAAGAGACGAGAAAAGTGCTAGAAGCGGGGATATTCAAAATATTTTGAGCGGCTTTTCTCTTG